TACGTGCTCGGTATACGTGCCTTCGGGGACGTGTGCGTGCTCTGGGGGGGGCGGGTATACGTGCTCGGTATACGTGCCTTCGGGGACGTGTGCGTGCTCTGGGGGAGGAGGGGTGTATACGTGCTCGGTATACGTGCCTTCGGGGACGTGTGCGTGCTCTCGGGATCTGGGCACGCCATGTAAATGCACGGGTTGCAGCTGAAGCAGATGAAGGAGCTGGAGCAGGAGAAGGAGGTGCTGCTGCAGGGTCTGGAGATGATGGCGCGGGGCCGCGACTGGTACCAGCAGCAGCTGCAGCGAGTGCAGGAGCGTCAGCGCCGCCTGGGCCAGAGCAGAGCCAGCGCCGTGAGTGCCATCGCCCCGGCCCCAGGTCCCCACACACGGGACCCCAGCTAGCCCCAGGCACCCCTGTTACAGCTGCCCCATTCCAGGACACCGTGGCTGTCAGTTCCACCCAGGGAGCTGGGACATCCTTTTCCTCCCCTGGTGCTGCCCCACTCCTAGGGGCCAAGGTGCCCTGGGCACAGCTTCCACCTCAGCAACGCCCCTGGGACCCATCTAGGCTCTCAGCAGCATTGGGGGCCAGGAGAGCACCTGTGGGGATCCCCATCAAGGCACCGTGCTGGCCCTGGCTGGCCCTCCTCTCTGACCACTTGTCCTCTGCTTTCTCCCCAGGACTTTGGGGCTGCAGAGAGCCCCCGCCCACTGGGGCGGCTCCTGCCCAAGGTACAGGAGGTGGCCCGGTGCCTGGGAGAGCTGCTGGCTGCAGCTTGTGCCAGCCAGGTGAGTGTGCCCCAAACCCCCACGCCCACGCTGGGGCCCAGGCCAGGTTAATGCTCCCCGGACCTCGTCCTGGCCTGCCTAATCCTGCCTTCCTGCAGGCCCTGCCCACGTCCTCCTCCGGGCCCCCCTGCCCTGCCCTGCCGTCCAGCTCGTCCCCGGGCTGGCAGCAGCAGACCATCCTCATGCTGAAAGAGCAAAACCGACTCCTCACCCAGGTAAGGCAGCCGGGAGGGGTGTGGGTGGGGACTCCTCACCCAGGTAAGGCAGCCGGGAGGGGCATGGCGGTGGGGGTGAGGCCCCGCAGGCCTTGACCAACAGCGTACCTGCCCAGGAGGTGACGGAGAAGAGTGAGCGCATCACGCAGCTGGAGCAGGAGAAGTCGGCGCTCATTAAGCAGCTGTTCGAGGCCCGGGCCCTGAGCCAGCAGGACGGGGGGACTCTGGACTCCACCTTCATCTAGCCCGTGTGGGGCGAGCAGGCCCCGGGGCTGGCCTGGCACTCAGCCCTTCCAGGGCAGGCGCCCCGTCGCACCCACGGTCTCTGGCTGGAGACCGCGGCAGGCCCAGGCACAGTCCCCGCGTGGGCGCCTTCCTGCCCGCCTTGCCATCCGGGCTCGCCAGGCCTGCCCCAGCCTGGCACTGAGCCCTTTGTTTTGGCTCCTGGCGCTGACATGGGCTGGGGCTCTCTTGAGTCTGCATAGCTCGCAGCGAGGCCTGCCGCTGCCAGTGGACCGTGGGGGACCCCTCCACGAGCCACCAGATCTCTGGCCGCTGCGTTTCCCACGGTGCCGCCCCGTCCGTCTCCGGGGAGGGGCGCTGCACTTCCGACAGCGGCCAGCAGAGGGGGCTGGCGGCTCCGATGCGGGTCCCAGGGCAGCTTCGCTCCGTCAGCGTGGGCGCAGGACAGGGTGGCTGTGGCTGGGACGGAGCAATGGGGGGGGGTGGCGTGGCCCCTAGGCGGGGGTGCCCTCCTGGCAGGGGAGCCCCAGGGACGGCGGTCGGACTTCAGGTCCTGGCCAAGGCTGAGGAACTCTGGTTGAGCGGATCGGGGAGCTGGGCGGGCGAGAACTTGGGCTGCGTGTGCAGACCCCGGGTGTGGCCTTCCTCACCCCAGCCAGGACCCTGCCCCGCGTGGAGTCCCACAGAACACCCTGTGAGCCTGGCTCCCCAGGAGGGCCGTGTCCCCAGGAGTGGGGTCAGCCTGGGCCCCCAGACAGCTCCCAGGCACATTGCAGGCAGAGCCTGTCCCCCCCACTCAGGACTACTGAGGTCTGGGGTCCTGCTTACCCCCCTTTCCTCCCAGGCCTAGCCTGACCCCAGGTTTCAGCAGGGAGAGGCCACTTCCCTCAGCCAAGGAAAAGGAGAAGCCCCAGAGTACAGGAGGAGGCTGGGGCAGGTCCCCTTGGGTGTCACGCCCTGCCCCGGCCCAGTTCCGCAGGTGCTGCGGTAGTCACTGGTGGGGGACCCAGTGCCACCAGAGCCAGGGGCACGGCAACGTCATGGGCAGGTTCCGCAGCCCAGGGCCCCCAATGTGGAGTCAGGTGCGGGGGGCACAGGGACCCCGGTACAGTGTCAGTGTGTGTGGGGCACAGGGACCCCAGTGCAGGGTCAGTGTGTGTGTGGGGCGCAGGGACCCCGGTACAGGGTCAGTGTGTGGGGGTTGCAGGGACCCCGGTGCAGGGTCAGTGTGTGGGGGTTGCAGGGACCCCGGTGCAGGGTCAGTGTGTGGGGGTTGCAGGGACCCCGGTACAGGGTCAGTGTGTGGGGGTTGCAGGGACCCCGGTGCAGGGTCAGTGTGTGGGGGTTGCAGGGACCCCGGTGCAGGGTCAGTGTGTGGGGGTTGCAGGGACCCCGGTGCAGGGTCAGTGTGTGGGGGTTGCAGGGACCCCGGTGCAGGGTCAGTGTGTGGGGGTTGCAGGGACCCCGGTGCAGGGTGTGTGTGGGGGCTGCAGGGACCCCGGTACAGGGTCAGTGTGTGTGGGGCGCAGGGACCCCTCATGTCCAGGGTACTTTGGTGCACTGTCCCAGAGGAGGGGTCCAGGCAGGCAGTGCAACAACTCCCTTCTGGAACCCAGCTCCACATTCACCTGCCCACAGCAACCCCACGGAGCCACCTCCCCCCTGCACCCAGCCTGCCAGGGGTGTCCCAAGACAGGCCCAAGCCAACCCAGCGTGCAGCTGCCCTCCTCGTCTGAGGATGGGAGTGGGCTTTCCAGGGGACATGAGGGTGCCAGGCCTGGACCTCCTGGGCCGGAAAGGCAGAGGTTCCCAAAGGCCTGTGCCCCCATCCCCAGCACCAGGTGGACTGCTGCACAGTGGGTGAGCCAGCAGCAGCAGAGAGAAGCCCCTCCCCCCATCAGCAGCAGGCTGGGGTGTGCCCGCCGTGGCCTCCCCACGTCTGTCTTTGAGGGTGCCTGCCATGCCCTGGGGGATCCTGGCGTCCTTACAGGACTGGAAGCAGGAGACCCAACCATGTCTGTCCCAGGGTGACCTCATCAGGAGACCGCCCACAGAGAGCTGGACCCCGAAGCTAAAGCAGAAATGTGAGACAGGCTGGCACCTCCGGAAAAACTGCCTCTCAGCCTTGGGGTTCCATGCAAGGTGAAGAAAAATAGGTCCTTCAGGTTTACAGCTTGAAATCAGGCTAGTGTGTGTTCCGACAGGCCACGCGCTGAGAAGGGAAAGTGGCCCCTGCCGGCAGGGTCCAGGCGGCTGGCAGAGGCACACGAAGACCCTGCCTGGAGCCCGCCCTGGTGACGCTGGTGAGTCAGTCTCCGTCCAGGGTGTGAGCAGCATCCCTGGCCTGTGTCCACGAGGTGCCAGTAACATGTGCAGGATCATCCACGCGTGTGTACACACAGTTGTGTCGCCCACAAACGTCTCAGGGTATCAAAATGTGTCCCTGGGGGCAGAAGTGCCCTGGCTGAGAATCTGCCCCAGAGGAACACAACCACACCAGGCCTCAGGATTTCGTGTTGGCCAAGTTCCACGGAAAAGGGACATCTCGGCCGGGCACCGTGGCTCACACCTGGAATTCTGGCACTTGAGGCCAGGAGTTAGAGACCAGCCTGGGTAACATAGTGAGAGACCCCATCTGTACAAAAAAAAAAAAGAAAAGAAAATGAGATATCCAGTTTTAAAAATTCATAAACACTTCAAGGAAAGAGTACGCTGAGACCCAGCAGAAGCAACAGATAGGTTCTAGACACAGATGCTGGAATATCAGAGAATATAAAGTAACAGTGTTTTATATATCTACAGAAATAAAAGAGGTTTCTGGAAATACGAACAAGGAATGGTATTTATAGTTTCTTACTCCATAAAAAGCATGATCTTGCTGGGTGTGGCAGCTCACGCCTGTAATCCCAGCACTTCGGGAGGCTGAGGTGGGCAGATCACAAGGTCAGGAGATTGAGACCAGCCTGGACAACCTGGCGAAACCCCGTCTCTACTAAAATAAAAAAATTAGCTGGGTGTGGTGTTGGGCATCTATAATCCCAACTACTGGGGAGGCTGAGGCAGGAGAATTGCTTGAACCCAGGAGGCAGAGGTTGCAGTGAGCCAAGATCTCACCACTGCAGTTCAGCCTTGGGGACAGAGTGAGACTGTCTCAAAAAAAAGGAAAAAAAAAAGCCAGGTGCAATGGCTCACGCCTGTAATCCCAGCACTTTGGGAGGCTGAGGTGGGAGGATGGCTTGAGCCCAGGAGTTTGTGGCCAGCTGGGGCAATGTGGCAAGACCCTGTCTTTTCAAAAAAAAAAAAAGGTGGGGGAATTAGTGTACAGGGTCCAGCCCTGCAGAGTCTAGTGGGTGCTCTTTTGTGTGCGGACACGATAGATCACAGGAAAGAAAGACACAAGACACAGAGAGAGGAGAGGAATTCAGCGGGGTTGGGGGACCACTGCCACCAAGGGGCAGAGTCCAGCAGTGGCCCCGAATGCCTGGACACGCTGACATTTATTGTATACAAGGCAGGGGCAGGGCCGGAGAGTGACCCATCTGGCGTGATTGACAGGGTCACGTCAATCACGTGCTTACGGTACAGGGCCCCTCTCAGGGGGCTGCTGCCAGGGAGAGCGGCACATATGTCAGCATTTTTCTACACACTCATCAGAAAGGTTAAAGGCTTTTAGGGTTCCCCTACTCTGACTTCTCACCACTTCTAAGAACTTAAAAAGAGAGCCAGGTGGGAAAGCGGAACCTGAAAGTGGACAAGGATGGTGACCGTCGGAGCACCACGGACAGGTGTTTAAGCCCCTGGATGTCTGCAGCCGGCCTGGCTAGTGTCAGGCCTTCCTCAAGAGCCGAGTAGAGCAGCATGTTCTCTGAACTCCCCAGTGAAAGGGAAACTCCCCTTCACGGCCTGCTAAGAAACTGCTACGTAACGGGCGCCTTCCCAGGCGCTGGCACCGCCGCAAGTCCTGCCTGCTGAGAAACAGGCGCAAGGCTCTCTCTTGTCTCATGATCGCTTCTCAAGATGTCCCTTCGGTTCCTAATTAGATTTCACCTGGTTGTTTCTATGCTGTGCTATAATACTAAAGCAAAGATTAATAATAAATAATACCAATTTAATAAGATTCATTATGTAATTATGATTGTTTCTAAACACATTTGGTATCACTGCTAAAAGTAATCAGTTATTTATTATTCTGGGACAGATTGTGCCTTCAGTCTCCTGCCTTGGCACCTGGGCGACTTTCTTCCCACACTGGTGCACCTGCGGTCCCAGCCCCTGGGGAGCATCACGTGAGCCCAGGAGGTTGAGGCTGCAGTGAGCTATGATTGTGCCACTGCACTCCAGCCAGCCTGGGTAACAAAGCAAGACCCCATCTCTTAAAAAAAAAAAAGAGAGAATTGAGAGTTTAGGAGGCTGGGTGCGGTGGCTGACGCTTGTAATCCTGGCACTTTGGGAGCCAAAGTGGGTGGATCACCTGAGGTCAGGAGTTCAAGACTAGCCTGGCCATCATGGTGAAACCCCATCTTTATTAAAAAAAAAAAAAAAAAAAAAGAAAGAGTTTAGGAAACTATCATCCAGAGCACAGCGCAGAGAGAGAGGACATGGGAATGGGAATGAGGGGCAGTGGGCTGTGGATGAAGGCGAGAGGGAGCCACCCGTAATCCCAGCACTTTGGGAGGCCGAGCTGGGTGGATCATGAGGTCAGGAGATCGAGACCATCCTGGCTAACACGGTGAAACCCCGTCTCTAAGCCAGGCATGGTGGCGCACACCTGTAGTCCCAGCTACTCGGGAGGCTGAGGCAGGAGAATTGCTTGAACCTGGGAGGCGGAGGTTGCAGTGAGTGGAGATCATGCCACTGCACTCCAGCCTGGATGACAGAGCAAGACTCCCTCTCAAAACAAAACAAACAACTGGGCACAGTGGCACACGCCTGTAATCCCAGCACTTTGGGAGGCCGAGGCGGGTGGATCACCTGAGGTCAGGAGTTGGAGACCAGCCTGAGCAACATAGCAAAACCCCGTGTCTACAAAAAATGCAAAATTAGCCGGGTGTCGTGGTGCATGCCTGTAATCCCAGCAACTCAGGAGGCTGAGACAGGAGAATCACTTCAACCCAGGAGGCGGAGGTTGCAGTGAGCCGAGATCATGCCATTGCACTCCAACCTGAGGAACAAGGGCAAAACTCCATCTCAAAAAGAAAAGAAAGAAACAGCTGGGCATGGTGGTTCACGCCTGTGACACCAGCAGTTTGGGAGGCTGACGCAGGTGG